GTGATTATGATGCTGCTGTGGTATCTATAAATTCCAGAATTGAAGACTTCTCTCTTCAGGATGTTCATGCTCTTTTGTTGAGTGTTGAAAGTAGAATTGATAATACAAAATCAGCTGAAGAAGAAGTTAATCCAGTTGCAAACGTTGTCACTCAAACTCAAAACAAAAAGGAGTACAACTCTTTTGGCCAACATGGAAGAGGCAGAGGCTTTAATCAAAGAGGAAGAGGTTTTCGAGGTGGCTATAGAGGAGGAAGAGGTAGAGTTAGAATGGTTTGTCAAGTATGTCATGGAAATAATCATACGGCAGACAGATGTTACTACAGGTTTGATCCTTCTTATGGTCCACCTCAACACAATCCTACATCTTCTCAGTTCAAGAACAATCAAGTTGGTGGCAACAGATCTTTCAACAACCAAAATATGAATGCTTTAGTCACAACTCATGACACTGCTTCATCAGAAAACTCTTGGTATCCTGATTCTGGTGCCTCAAATCATGTCACTCATGAAATTTCTAATCTCAACTTAGCCTCTGAGTATCAAGGGAATAATAAGCTTCATATTGGTGATGGCTCAGGTCTGAAAATTTCTCATATAGGTCATTCTAATATTAAGAGTCCTTACTTTAACCAGTCTCTTGTTCTTAAAAATCTGCTTTGTGTTCCTAAAATTACCAAGAATTTAATTAGTGTATCTCAGTTTTCAAGAGATAATAACTGCTTCTTTGAATTCTATCCTGACTTTTGTTGTGTTAAGGATCAGTCTACAGGACAAACACTTCTCAAGGGGACATTTAAAGAGGGGTTATATCAGTTTGATTTGACAAGTACCTTGCCAATTTCACCACAACTTCAAGAATCAAACTTCAGTCATTCACCTGTTACTTTTCTTTCTACCAGTAAGAGCAGTTCCAATTCAAAAAGGCATGAGGACTTAGACATTTGGCATCAAAGATTAGGTCATCCTAGTTTTGACATTGTTGCTAAAGTTGTCTCTGATTGTAATCTTGCCATTGATATTAATAAAAATGCTCTTTCCATTTGTGAGGCTTGTCATTTAGCAAAGTCTCATAGATTACCTTTTGATGATTCCTCTACTTCCTATCATGAACCATTTGAACTTGTTCATTCAGATCTATGGGGCCCTTCTCCAGTAAAAACTAAAACAGGTCATAGCTACTATGTTAGCTTCATTGATCAGTTCACCAAATTCACTTGGCTTTATTTTCTGAAAAATAAATCTGAAGTTCACAGTGTATTTCTTCAATTCAAAACCATGATAGAAACTCAGTTCAACAAGAAAATAAAAGTCATTCAATCTGACTGGGGGGGAGAATACAGAAGTTTAAACACATTTCTTAAAGACAATGGGATAGTTCATAGAATCTCTTGTCCTTATACACCTCAGCAAAATGGAACAGCTGAAAGGAAGAATAGGCATGTGGTTGAAGTTGGCTTGGCATTGTTGGCTCAATCTGCTATACCTCAATCTTTCTGGTTAGATGCTTTCAGAACTTCTGTTTATCTTATTAACAGACTTCCTACAAAAACTCTTCAATTCAAGTCTCCCTATGAAATGTTGTATCAGCAAAAACCCAACTACAAACTTCTCAAAACTTTTGGGTGTTTATGCTTTCCTTATCTTAGACCAATGAACACTCACAAACTTCAATATAGGTCTGCTCCTTCAACTTTTGTTGGTTATTGTCCTGGTTACAAAGGTTACAAAATCTTGTTGCCTTCCGGGAAAACCATTATCACAAGACATGTTGCTTTCTGTGAAAACAAATTTCCCTATATAGAAAAGCATAAAAAGGAAACATGTGATAACACTCAAAATGATCTTGTAGCAACCCAAATACCTTTACTTCAATTTCCTATTGTTAAGGAACACTCTATCAAATCTCCTCTTCAAACTGTTCAGAACAATTATTCACCTCAGTCAAATAGAAACAGTCACAATTCAAGCACTAGTCATTCATCTGTTCCTTCTACCTCTTCGTCTTCAAATCTTCATACTCAAAGAACCCATGATTCCATTCCTCTTGAATTACCTGTTGAGAAAAGTATTCAATCTGAGCCATCTCACAGTAATGCTCATCCTATGATCACTAGAGCTAAAGCTGGGATTTCTAAACCCAAGGTGTATGTTTCTGCTTATGATGAGGAAAAAGAACCTCAAAATGTTGTTGAAGCTCTTAATAATCCTAATTGGAAAAGGGCAATGGAAGAAGAGTTGAGAGCTCTAAAGAAGAACAACACCTGGAAGTTAACAAATGCTCCAGTTGATAAAAATATTGTTGACTGTAAATGGGTTTTTCGACTTAAGAAGCACTCTGATGGAAGCATAGCAAGATATAAAGCACGGTTGGTGGCTAGAGGATTTACTCAAACACC